CCATATGAATTTAGAAAGTGGGGAAAACTGTACGTGCATGAGGCTATACCAGAGAGTTCTGGGTGTACAGTGCAGTACCAGCATATCAACATGTAAGATAACTGACAACATCATAAAAGAGGGAGACTCAGCTCTGAACTTACTCATTGACTCGAATCACTTGCGGTGCTCCTGAATCTTCAATTTTCAATACTTTAACTGTGAATATGCTGTGACTAAAAGAAATTTAAATCAGTAGAGAAGTGAAAATATTTTCAGCCTCCACCACATCTGTTTAAAACACTGTTGAATCTGCCAACATATCACAGTATGTTAGAGATTGGAAGGGACCTCAAAAGATCATCTAGTCCAATCCCCCTGCCGGAGCAGGAACACCTAGATAAGGTTACACAGGAACGTGTCCAGGCGGGTTTTGAATGTCTCCAGAGAAGGAGACTCCACAACCTCCCTGGGCAGCCTGGTCCAGTGTTCTGTCACCCTCACTGAGAAGAAGTTTCTTCTCAAATTTAAGTGGAACCTCTTGTGTTCCAGTTTACACCCATTGCCCCTTTTCCTATCATTGTTTGCTACTGAGAAGAGCCTGGCTCCATCCTCATGACACTCCCCCTTTATATATTTATATACACTAATAAGGTCACCCCTCAGTCTCCTCCAAACTATAGAGACCCAGCTCCCTCAGTCTTTCCTCATAAGGGAGATGCTCCACTCCCTTAATCATCTTAGTTGCCCTGCGCTGGACTCTCTCCAGCAGGTCCCTGTCCTTCTTAAACTGAGGGGCCCAGAACTGGACACAATATTCCAGATGAGGTCTCACTAGGGCTGAGTAGAGGGGAAGGAGGACCTCTCTCGACCTACTAACCACCCCCCTTCTAATACACCCCAGGATGCCATTGGCCTTCTTGGCCACAAGGGCACAGTGTCAGCTCATGGTCACCCTGTCGTCCACTAGGACCCCCAGGTCCCTCTCCCCTACACTGCTCTCTAACAGGTCGTTCCCCAATCTATACTGGAACCTGGGGTTGTTCCTGCCCAGATGCAGGACTCTACACTTTCCCTTGTTATATTTCATCAAGTTATTCCCTGCCCAACTCTCCAGCCTGTCCAGGTCTCGCTGAATGGCAGCACAGCCTTCTGGCGTGTCGGCCACCCCTCCCAGCTTAGTGTCATCAGCAAACTTGCTGATAGTACACTCAATTCCCTCATCTAAATCATTGATGAATATATTAAATAATATTGGTCCCAGTACCGACCCTTGAGGCACTCCACTAGGTACAGGCCTCCAACTAGACTCCGCCCCATAGACTACAACCCTCTGGCTTCTCTCCTTCAACCTCATCAGATACAAACTTTTGAAGAGATACTTACGTAGCACTGGTTTTCCTTTTTTCTCAGACATTTAGATAGAGTAAGAGCCAAGTGCTTTCGCCTGAAGGAGACTATTTGATAGAACACTGTTAGGTTTAGTACATGTTCATCTTATTGGAGGATTTAATCCTTCTGGCTCAAAGCACTGCTAAAGGATGCCAAACCCTAAACAGAGATATCTAGACCTTCTTCCTAAGGTATCTAGATACCTAGACCTTCTTAAAGCTTCTTCCCTAGACCTTCAAGCCATATTTTTGTTGCATGCTATGGTCCCACCAGGTTCAAAATAATTCACTGTCCTTCCATCTCCAATGTTTCCAAAGCACTGGAGGGGCCCAGTGGACTAGATACTTGCCCATACTGTCCCACATGCCCTGCCACTCATGGCTGTCCAGCCTTGGGGAAAACCTCTTGGTCCTCCCATATTGTTGTCTAACCCCAGACAAGACCCAAACCCGACTCTGCTTAAATTTTGGGATCAGACACAATGGTGGTGGGTAAAACACACTCTGCATGTGTGCCAACATAGTGAACACCATCACAGTCAGCAGGCAGGTCCCAAGGTTACCCAAAGGCCATTCAAAACCTTCAGAACTCTCAAACGATGCTGCTGTACTTGTCACTGGGGCTGGTGTAGCTGCTGTGCTTGCCGGCTCTCCCACCACCAGCTTCTGTTTTCCTGAGTCCAGCTCTTCCTCCTCTGCCTTGCTGGGAAATGCTGCGGGGTCTCCTGCGTCCTCCTGGGGCTCGGCGGGCGGCTTCCGGGGAATGCTCTCGGCCGTCGCGGGGCTGGGCTCGGCCGCGGGGCTCGGCTCCTCTGCGGGGCTCGGCTCCTCCGCCGCCTCCTCCCGCTCCTCGACCGCCCCGACCTCCTCCACCGGCAGCCGCTCCCTGCCGGCCTCCAGCCCCGCTCCCGCTTGGTCCCCGGGGCCGCTCTCCCGGGCCGCTTCAGCAGCCGCCGGCTCCCGGGGCCGCCCCCCCTCGGCTCCCCAGAGCCTCACGCAGACGGAGGCGAGGGCGAGGGCCAGGACGGTGAGGAGCAGCCGGACGGCCAGGGACCAGTCCACGGCCACGTCCGTCCCGCCCTGCTGCTGGAGCCCACCCGTATTACAAGTCATTGCCATAAAGTACAGTGAGACAAGAACCTTAGCCCAAGCCCCACACTTGATAAACACTAACACAGCAAATACCGGCTCTAAGTAAGTTACAACATTCTGAAGCTCTGAGATCCAATAAATCATCACTGTGACGGTCAGATCTGTCGTTATAAGTTTCATGATCAATGATTCTATTGTATTACAAGTCATTATCATAAAGTACACTGAGACAAGAACTTTAGCCCAAGGGCCACACTTGAAAAACACTAATACAGCAAATACCAGATGGAAGTAAGGTACGATATCCTGAGACTGTGAGATCAAGAGGAACAACTTTGAGAGCCAATAAATCAGCATTGTGACGAGTGACTATTAATCCGGTCAGATCTGTTGTTATCTCAACCCCTTCGTGCCCCACGTTGGGCACCAAAAAGAACTGTCATGGTTTAACCCCAACCAAGACAGCTTGTGCACTTACTCCCAGTGAGTGGTGCCAGGCTGGAAGCAATCGAGGCCCATGTTAGTCCCTCCCCCCGCCCCCCTTCCCCGCTCCCAGAGGGGTGGGGAGGAGAATCGAAGGAATGCAACTCCCACGGGCTGAGATAAGAACCGTCTAGCAACTAATGTACAATACAAATCACCACCGCTACCACCAACGACAACAATAAGAGAAAATAGCAAGGGAAAGGAGTACAATACCATGCGCCAAACAACGAGTCTGACCCGGCAGCCCCCCTCTCCTTCCGGGTAACTCCCAGTTCCCCCCTGGGCATGACGTGCTGTGGTATGGAATACCTCTTTGGTCAGTTTGGGTCAGGTGTCCTGTCTCTGCTTCCTCCCGGCTTCCCTCCTCCCTGGCAGGGCAAGAGGCTCACAAAGTCCTTGGCCAAACCAAAACATCATTTTTATCAACTTTGTTCCCAGCCTGAATGTCAAAACACAGCACTGCACCAGCTACCAAGAGGGAGAAAAAATGACTGCTACTGCTAAACCCAGGACAAGTATAACAACGCAGTAGGAAAGGTGCTTTAGTACCAATGCAGCACAGGTTTCTATGCTGCTTAAATATTTGAGTTATGAGAATTAGTTGAAAAGCATGTTTTAAAATTTCATGCTTGAGCAGTAATCAGTATAACCTAATAGAGAACAGAACTATGAAAAGTTGTCTTTTTTTGTGAACTAGGGCCTTTAAAGCGGAATTCTTTCAGTATGCAATTTGATCTTTGAGGGGGTTTGGACAAAGATTTCCATTTGCATTTTTTTGAAAAATACTGCAAATTATAACCAAATGTGGCTGTGATACATTTTATTAGAGTTCTGCAGTAACATCTAAGGTGCTGACCTAAACACTGATAAAAGAGAAAGACAGGCATCTGGTTCAGATACAAAAAAGTCAAGGAAATCTAAACATATAAGGAAAGATCCTCTGCTTGAGCAAAGCAGCTTTTTTTTCTATTGGCTTCCCTGAAGCTATTCCAATGAATACCATCTGGCAACACTGCCTACACAAAACAAAGTGTTCAAAATTGTGTAAATATGGGTATTTTGCACCTGTGGGTCATAGTCCTCATGACTCAAGTAATTCTAAAGGCACGATATTTCCTGTGTTCTTAATATAAACATTCTAGTTTATGCTGTTGCATTTTCATTGCTGGCCCAATTTTAACACTGGATTCACACAACTTTTATTTCTTTAATCCCTGTGCCATTCTGAGTTTTAAGAAAAAAAACAGTGTTTCTGACCACTGGGACAAATCTCAATGCGAGCACCAATCAGAAGCTTTTATATTTGCACAACATGATAAAATTAAAATAAAATATGATAACTTTAAATTATTTTAAGAAATACACAAATGCTATCTGCCTAGCAACATTAGGTAGTGGGAAGGTGTGCAGAGGAGATGCAAAGTCCTCTGATTTTCTACTTAGGACTTACTACCAAAACTAGCACAGTTGCTAGTATAACAGGGTAACTGAAAATCTTCTCCCAGTGCATGCAGAAGAGAATGCATGCCTTTGGAGAGGAAGGAACAAAGCCCTTACAAAGTCAAACCAAGTACACCAAGTCGCTGATACTGAGAAACAATGGCATGGCTGGATGCACTGTTAACCTCTTTTAACAGGAGCAGAGCTTGAGTGCTTTGGATAATTGTGTGGAACTTCTGTGTGTCTATAGTTGCCATATACATGTCTTGTACATCCACAGATTAACTCTGTAGCATATACAAAAAGGGTCCCATAATTCATGACCTTCTCAGATCTAGCAAATTCTACATATTTTAGATGTGGCTGCCACTGACACTGTGGACCAGACCTGCAGTATACCAAGAAAATGTTCACTATATCCTAAAGATGATGCTGCTGGACCCACTTGCAGGAGTTCATATGGCCCTCCTTCTACTTAGGATGCCTGCACACGTCAGACATACAGAGGTTATGAACTCAGAAAGATCCCAATGCTACCATTAATACAGTCCTGTATTCCCAGCAATTTGTGGCTGTGAGGTTCCTGACCAGCTTGTTTGCATATATAGACAGAAGAAGTAACAACGACATTGTGTTTTAATCTGTCCTTTTCAGAAATGAAGCTATGGTGAAGTCCTGAAAGAAGCTGCAAGGGCACATACCTTCATAAGTGGTTCTTGTATTCATCTTGACATTGGGGATGTGTTTCATCTCACAGGGTAAGCGTGGAGGTACTTGAGAGATAGGGTAGGAGTTATAATCTTGTTTAATAGTGGTGGTGCAATCCATAGTCTCATCACTCTTGACATGCTTTTGAGGTGATAAATGTTTCCATGGCGACGCTTTCTGAGCTATGTAATCTCTCCTGTGAAGAATAATTTTATTATGTCCTTCGTCTTAAAGAAAAAAAAAACCAAACAAAAAATATCTATTTCTGTACCCACAAAGAAATTAATACTGCCTCTTATCTCCACAGCCTAAGAAAGCTGTGACAGGAATCAAGCAGTTAATGAAACACATAATCCTTTCACAGTTGGAAGGCTGGACTCTGAGAAACGAACAGGGGCAGCTCTGGACAACCTCAGGCAACTCAGATTCTCCCTTCTTTCCATCCAGTGAGGTTGATGGCCTTATACAAAGCTATCTATGTTCTACAGTGCCATGACACCTGAAGTTATTACTCTCTTTAAAAGCTCAATAATTATACAAGGCTATCTAGTATGTAGAGGAAGCTTATGAGAGAGGCAACAATAGCCTTTACAGATACCCTATGTACAACAGTTCAGCCCAGGATGGATAGGTAACAGCAAAACAGTCTTACAGCAAAACATCAGTTAAGGAAAGAAACAACAGCACGGTCAGAAAGTCAGCTTTTTCTCAGGTAGCACTATATGATACTAGAGCAGTGCTACTTAAACAGCTCAACAAAACATTACAGAAACACTGTAGAGAAGAAAATAACCCCAACATTCACTAACCTGAATCTATTTTACTGCCCACATCCTCTGATATAGGGCAGAGAGTATGCTGCCTGGCACTAGTGAATTCAATCTCTAATGTCAGAGTACTTTTCCACTGATTCATTTACACCACTGGCAGCTGGCCAGGAGAAATCATCAGTAAAGGAGCTATTCTAATATTAATATTGCACTTCACATCTGGAGTGATGCTGGGTGGGCAAAAGACCGAGCCTTTGAAAATACTGTATTAGTTACGTATTTTAGTAAATAAACAAGGTTCTCATCAAAAGTCTGTGTCAAGCAGAATAGAATTTACGTTGCAAAGTATCAGGTATAGGTGTGAAAATAGAAATGCAGAAGTAAAAAAAAATACATGAGCATCAAGAGGTATTTATGTAGATGTCACACTTGTTGCAGCCCCTTGGCATACTTTTGTCAGCAATTTAAAGCCACTGTACTTTTTAAGAGAGGCCAAGAAAAGGCAAGAATACAAGACACATCACATCCTTAGTAGCAGGAGTGCCCAGTAACAGAGAGGCTCTTTCCCAAGCCATTCGCAGTACACTGCACAATCCCGTGTTTGAAACAGCCAAGGCTGTACTAGGGGCAAGTAACAGATCACAGGTGTTCAATTCTTCACTGTGTGACCAAGAGCTTTCTGGCAGTGGGAGCACCTTTTCCCACACTGACTATTGTGAAGCAGGAGAACCTGCAGTGGAAATAACAGAAGAGAGATTAATCTGCTGATAAATCAGTGGCAACGTGCATCCAAGATGACATGAAAAAATGTACTGCCTGCAACTCCTAGGCTTTACCAAGGGTGTCTGCTGTCACGGTATAACACATAACACTCAGTGAAGTGTTATTAGAAATGACTGGTAACAACTCAGTGTCTGCTGGTCTCACAGTTCGTGCAGTTATTTTCATACACTCCATCAATTCACCCTCCTTGAGTTTAGCCACACAGAACCAGAGTGTTTAGCAGCCTTGTAATAGGTATCACAGTATCACAGTATGCTAGAGATTGGAAGGGACCTCAAAAGATCATCTAGTCCAATCCCCCTGCCGGAGCAGGAACACCTAGATAAGGTTACACAGGAACATGTCCAGGCGGGTTTTGAATGTCTCCAGAGAAGGAGACTCCACAACCTCCCTGGGCAGCCTGTTCCAGTGTTCTGTCACCCTCACTGAGAAGAAGTTTCTTCTCAAGTTTAAGTGGAACCTCTTGTGTTCCAGTTTGTACCCACTGCCCCTTGTCCTATCATTGTTTGCCACTGAGAAGAGCCTGGCTCCATCCTTGTGACACTCCCCCTTTATATATTTATATACACTAATAAGGTCACCCCTCAGTCCTCTCTTCTCCAAACTATAGAGACCCAGCTCCCTCAGTCTTTCCTCATAAGGGAGATGCTCCACTCCTTTAATCATCTTAGTTGCCCTGCGCTGGACTCTCTCCAGCAGGTCCCTGTCCTTCTTGAACTGAGGGGCCCAGAACTGGACACAATATTCCAGATGAGGTCTCACCAGGGCCGAGTAGAGGGGAAGGAGGACCTCTCTCGACCTACTAACCACCCCCCTTCTAATACACCCCAGGATGCCATTGGCCTTCTTGGCCACAAGGGCACAGTGTCGGCTCATGGACACCCTGTCAGCCACTAGGACCCCCAGGTCCCTCTCCCCTACACTGCTCTCTAACAGGTCATTCCTCAGCCTATACTGGAACCTGGGTGGTGATACTTTTCTTCTAGGCCTTGGTACTTTCACTCTTGGTGCATTTTCTTACTGTCATTAACCAGAGGACACCAAAACCTGTAATATGATGGCTAACCGTTCGGGTTTTCTCCTCCAACACGGGCAGGCAAGTTTTACACTTGGTAGAGTGCATACTGTGAAGAAGCATGTGTAAGTACTTTCTGCACATTCTTACTAGTCTGCTTTTTAGAAGTTACTGAACTCCAGGAGTAACAGTTATTGTTTGTCTGAGCAAGGAGAGTTTTGCTGACTGAACAGAAAGTTTCCAAGGGCTCCTTAAGAGACCCTACATGGCCGCTGCCCTCACCACCTGTTTTAAGAGGACACCAGTGACCCCAAGATTTAATTGTAAGCAGATACAAAGATGTCTAGCTGCTTTGGCTTATCCTGGAGATGGAAGGCATATACAGAAGCGAAGTCTGCTCTTTGAAACTCTCTGATCCTTTTGGTGATTGCTGAAAGCTCCCACATAGGCAGAAGCATCCCAAATGTGAGTAAATTGGGCATTTCAGAATTCATCAGCCATGTTTAAATTGACAACTCTTAAAAAGGCAGAGGTAGCAGGAATGGAGATCTTCCATGTCAGAATGGGTAATGAGGGAGCTTGAGAAGTACTCACCAAGCCACTTTCAATCTCGGATGTCATCTACTGACTTCAGTAAAGCCTTTGACACCATTTCCCATGGCATTCTCCTGGGGAAACTGGCTGCTCATGGCTTGGATGGGTGTACTGTTGCTGGGTACAAAACTGTCTGCATGGCTGAGCCCAAAGAATGGTCATGGATGGAATTATATCCAGTTGGCAGCCAGTCACAAGAGGTCTTCCGCAGGGCTCAGTACTGGGGCCAGTTCTGATTAATATCTATATCAGTGATCTAGATGAGGGGACTGAGTGCACCCTCAGTGAACTTGTGAATGACACCAAGTTGGGTGGGACTGTTGATCTGCTGGAGAGTAGGAATGCTCTGCAGAGAGATCTGGGCAGGCTGGATCAACGGGCTGTGGTCAATGGCTCAACAAGGCAAAGTGCGGGGTCCTGCACTTGGGCCACAACAACCTCATGCAATGCTACAAGCTTGGGGAAGAGTGGCTGGAAAGATGCCCAGTGGAAAAGGACCTGGGGATGCTGACTGACAGCTGAACATGAGCCAGCTTGTGGCCCGGCAGCCAAGAAGGCCAACAGCATCCTGGCCTATATCAGAAATAGTGCGGCCAGCAGGGCCAGGGCAGTGGTCATCCACTGTACTGAGCACTGGTGAAGCTGCACCTTGAATCCTGTGTTCAGTCTGGGCCCCTCACTGCAGGAGAGACATTGAGGTGCTGGAGCAGGTCTAGAGAAGAACGACAAAGCTGGGAAAGGGTCTGAAGCACAAGTCTGATGAGGAATGGCTGAGGGAACTAAGGGGGTTTAATCTGGAGAAAAGGAGGCTGAGGGGAGAACTTATCACTCTGCAACTACCTGAAAGGAGACTGTAGCAAGGTGGATGCTGGTCTCTTTTCCCAAGTAACAAGTGATAGGACAAGAGGAAATGGCCTCACGTTGCATCAGGGGAGATTCAGATTGGACATTAGGAAAAATTTCATCATCAGGAGGGTTGTCAATCATCAGAATAGGCTGCCCAGGGATGTGGTTGAGTAAACATGCCTGGAGGTATTTAAGAGACTTGTAGAGGTGGCACTGAGGGATGTAGTTTAGTGGTGGACTTGGCAGTGTCAGGTTAACAGTTGGACTCAATGATCTTAAAGGATTTTTTCCAACCTAAATGATTCTATAATTCTATGAGGAGAAATGGATGGTGTTAGCTGTTAAGACTTTACTAATAGCCATTGGCATTTCCTAGGTCTCTAATTCAGTTCAGCAAAGGCAAGAGTGATATTGCTCATGACTGTGGATGTGATGACAAAGAAGTAAACATCTAGATCAGGCAGCAGCTGTTGTCTGAGAAAGAGAAGCTCTCAGAGTCATATTAATGGATCAGATTCCTATTTTTATGAGCTCCTTCTGTCGACAAGTACTTGGCACATCACTCTGCCAGCAGCAAGAGCCTCAGAAGTTACTTCCATAAGCGAAATTGGCACAGTGCAAGTGTAAGGATTTCTGCTAAACCCCAACACTGAGCAACAACACGGCTGAGAAGCAGAAACAGCTCAACAATCCACAATGACTGCCTTGAGGAAAACACCCACATCCCTTCCAATCATCAAGCTCTACCATATTCACACCTCCTCAGAAACCAGTCATGCATGTTAACAGTGTACAAAGTGCCACACAAAACACAACGAAAGAAAAACAGTCTTCAGAGATCATCCATACTTTCCCAGATAATATTTCTGCTGGTTTCACAGACCAAAACAGAAAATCAGCAAAATCCAAGACCATGACTATGCTTCTATGGCCCATGTATCCTCTGATCATATCGCTTCTCAGTCTCTAGAAGTGCAAGAAAAACAGCTGCTTGCCTCCATACAAACTGTCCTCAGATAGATCTTCATCCCTCCTTCAGAGAGCCCTCATGAGGGTTTGTACAACCATAACATTGGTCTTTTCAGCCTCCTCTTATGAAAACCAGTGATTTTTCTTTTCTCTATTACTCATCCCTCTCACACACATTATCTAAGACACTGTCTTTCACTATTTTTCGTACTTTGTAGTTGAGATGCCTTCCATGTGTATGTCTGCCACCTTGTACACTGCCTTTGGCTTAAATGAGTCTTCAGGAGCAGTGATGGGATGAGGGGGGTATTGCTCCTTGTACTCTGACAGCATGCATGGCTTCTCAGTCTTGTCATAGGGCCTGGAGGGGAGGTGTGGACAACGGTGACATCTGCAAGGGTTAAAAAACAGCACAGGAGTTAGTGACTCACAGGTAGCTGATTAATAATACCTTATTGCGTAAGTCAGCTGCAGACTGCAACTACAAAATAGTGGACGAATGGGCATTGCAATGAGTGCTGCAGCCTTAAGCATTTAAAGTGCAAAAGCATAACCTGCAGAAATGACTGTTCCTGTCTACTACAACAGCCTGCAGTCAAAAAAGTCCAGGAAGCCAACAAAAACAGCCTAAAAAAAGCAAGTTCACCTGGATGAAATAAAAAACAACTTAATTAAAGATACAGCCAACTGTGACATATTGTGCTGGAGTAGAAACTCTATTGTCCCTTTTGTCCCATTTCTCATAAATTTACTATCTTACTTTGCTCACATATTGAGCTTACTTGTGAGCTAAAGGGCGACAGTCTGGAGTCTCTGTTCATTCATGCTTGGGCAGCCCTGCTCTGCCCATTTCTCTTTCTGAAAGCAATGTAGTATGGATACTGCAAGACCCCTCCATAACATGCACCAAAAAGAGGACAGTGAAAACAGAGTTTCTGAGGAAGCTCCCTTCTTACTGGAACCACAGATTATCTATCACTGGTGACTTCCTTCTTCTCACACTGGGACCAGGCCAGAGCAGGGTGGGCAAGGCTCATTCTATCAAAGAGAGGTTTGGGATTCCACCCTCAGGTTTCTTTCCAGAGACATTACAGTTTATGTACCTTCCTGGTTTGAGTCAAACTCACTAGAGTCAATGCGAAGGTTGCTGATTAATGACTTCAGGAACCACCCCACAGGAATTACAATGATAGGAGGAGGGCTCCAGTTTTATGCCTCATACATCATTCCTGCCAGAGTTCCAATGTTCCCTACTGGATGTATGCTTTCCAGTGCTACATCTAGTCCAGATACAAATTACTCATTTAAAAGGGCTTCTATACTTTGCATTAATCCATTAAATTACATGTTGAGCAATCTAGGATCAGCAGATGTCTGATTACCTAAATTTATACAGATAACCTCCAGTCTACACTGAAGAGCACACTTTCATATAATGTATCATTTTCCAAACTAGCACAAGAAGATAAGAAGGGCCCAGAGGGCTCAAGTTAAAAGGACAGCCAGTCATTTTTCCCTGTTGATAGCTGGGCTTCCATATTTCCAGAGTTATAAAATAAGAACACAATCAGCCCTTTTGAGGAGGGATAAAATGGTATACACCAAGTCCATAATACATTGGATGAGCAATTGGCTGGCACGTCATGCTCAAAGAGTTATAGTAAATGGGGTCACATCAGGCTGTATGTGCTGTTTAATGTTTTTATAAATGATCTAGACACAGGAGTTAAATGCACTTTAAGTTTGCCAATGACCCGAATCTAGTGGACTCCCTTGAAGGCACAGAGGTTTTAACGAGTGATCTGGATAGACTAGAGAGGTGCGCAATCACCAGCTGTATGAAATTCAACAAGAGCAAGTGCAGGATTCTGCACCTGGAATCGTTAATCCTCATAAGACACACAAACTGGGGGACAAGAGGCTGGAGAGAAGCCCTGAAGAAATGAGCTGTTCCTTTGCAGGCAGTAGATTTAAACTGGTGTATAACAGGAGTACTTGAGAGGGAAATAAGTCTTTAACAAGACCTAAACCTGTTGTCTTAGCAAAGATGAAGCCTTCTGCAAAACAATTTCCAAAAATCATGTTTTCAGCAACTGCTCCAGCTTTCAGGAAGTATGAGTGCTGATAAAACTCTGCCAGAAGGTCTCCAACATCTTGCGGTGATCTATGTCATTTCTAATACACTCTGCATAATGCAAGCCAAGAAGGAAGAGGAGGGGGAGAGGAGTATTTACAAGCAACCCCCTCACTCCTACATTAAGTTTGTCACTCCCAATAAAAAAGAAAAGGCAGTTTTCTGGTCCTTCTACTTTTGTATTACATTTGCAACCTGAAATGCTGTGGGAAAAGTCTAGTTAGCAACATGGCAATACAGTCTGACAATATAAGCAGCATGGAAACATCACAAGCTACTCTAGGAGTACGTCTAGGTTGGAGAATTGCAGGCAGATTTTGGCTACTAAAAGAGACAGTCACCTTGCTTTGGCAGGAAGGAAGTTCTTAAGCCATAAAAAACTTTTGATGGGGAAAAAACATCAAACGGAGTAAGTAATGCATCAGGAAAAATTTAGTTTCCTGTTGAGCTGTTCTCTGTAAAAAAGAACTCCAGTCACAAGGAGGCTGTCAGAAATCCTGAAATTCTTGAAAGTTGTCCATGGAAAAATGGACAGCTAGTCATTTTTCAATGTTGATAGGTGGGCTTCCATATTTCCAGAGTTACAAAAAAGAACACAATCAGCTTTTTTGGAGAGAGACTAAATAGTAGGAAACACAATGGTGCTTTTCTCTCGGGTTTTTATATTTTGAAGAAGCAAGCTGTGGCAACATAAATAATTTGTGAGCACAGTAAGGACCTCCTCCAGCCCATCTGACAGCCAGCTAGGATGTCAGAAGTCACACCTTGTTCATTAACCTTGAAAACACAGTTCCTGAAGGTTTCCCATCAGAAAAGTCTCTGCAGAAGTCAGGTGTGTGGAGGGAAAAAAGCAAGCTGAGAGCAGATGTTCTCAGATGTATAAAGAGATAAGAGAAAGATGCTGGTAGCTGGAGGCAGCAAAGAGGAACCTGAAACCAGAGAGAAAATATGTGCTTAGGGGGAGGCTGAAACTACCTTCGAGGACAATAAAGGCACCGCCTGGCCTTAGACAAGAGGACAGACAGGGTAGAGGGGTATCAAAGAATTAGAGGGAATTACAAAAAGCCATCACAGGTAAAAGGATAGACAGGACTTAAGTGGGAAGGAAGAAGCAGGAGTGAAGGAAGAAAGGTTGTCGAACTGCTAGGAAGAATGGCCACTCTGGAAATCTAGATTTTGCTTTTAGTGATCAATTTAGTTATATAACTAGGCAAGTTGTACTAGTTGTAGAAAAACCTGGCAAAATATACACTGTGTATTTGGCATGTTAAATCCCATTACACTACTGCATTGATTTGCAGGTATGCAATCTAACGATAGCTCCCTTGCCAGAGATACTCAGTCCCTTTGAAAACCAAATATAACAGACTGAAAGTTCATCTCTGCTCAGTCTTTTATGCTAAGTAGTCTGCATAAGATTTATGATAAAAATATACATGAATGTTTGAAATTTGACATCTTTCATTCCTGGCTTTTGTTTTGTGCAAAGCTGGTTACCAGACAAACTTGAAAGCCCCATCACTTGTGTCTTCTGTGAATGCAAGTGCAAATCTTAAGCTAACTGAATGTCAGGAATGAATAAAATTCTGACACCTTGCATACTGAAAGAACTATTTTGATATTGACATTGTGATTATTTTTTTCATAAATACACCTGGAAAAGCATAAAGTTTCCTGGTGTAATACTCCTCTTAACCACTACAAATAATACTTCAATCTTAACTACAATTAATGGAACCAAAGGTGCAAAATGAACCATTCAAAAGCAAGGAAACACTAATTACCATTTCCTGTAGGAGATAATTCTAGCCCTGTTGTTGATGTGGAGTTAGGTATAGTTTAGCTTACAAAATCAAACATCAAATTTTCCACAGGTAAAGAGCTCGCTTGAGAGACACAGTTTCGAAGAATTTCCATTTATTACTTTTGCTTGTTTGTCTTGGAACTGTTAGCATGTCTTACTGTAAACAGATCATTAAAAACAGCACAGGCATGTTATGGATGTGGATTAGGAATCAGCACATGGAAGCAAGTGGCAACTGCAGATAATATTTAGATGGTGGCATCTTGGGCTCAGTCTGTAGTTTGTCTCTGTCAGCTGACAACTGGGTTTGGGAAAGCCAAAGTGACCTTAGGCCGATTAACCTCTTCTACATGTTTGTTCGTATTAAAACACCTTAAAGGAACTCAGGCACATAGGGAAATCCAAAGGTTTGGCATTAAGTTTTATCAAGCTATGATGCAATGGGTCACATTGGTTGGATGTGGTAGTTTAATCCTCAGCTAAGAAAATCACCTGCATTTTCCTTTCTTAACATTCTTCAGAAGCAGTTTTATATCAATGGCGAAGTTATTTTGCAATATCTGAATGCACTGAAAATTGAAAAATCATAAACGTATCTAACTGACATTTTGTGCTTGTTAATATGCTGAACATTTACTATAGTGAATATTAATTTACAGCTACAGGGTAAAAAACATCTTTGTTCCTCTGACTAACATAGCTTCTTGTTCATTAGAGATATCACAGAACATCTGCAAGAGCTGCTGAGCTCCACATTTTTAATGAATATTTACGTAGGCTTTTCACTGAAAACAAGATGTTTTTCTGCATCATCCAGTATCAGTTCCAGCCCTTTCTCCACTTTTGCTGTCTGTGACAGAAAACACATTTACATTTAGCTGAATTTTATCGCCAGGAAAACTAATTCTAGGAAAACAAATATTTTCCTGAACTGAAAAGCAATATGCAACAAATGCAAATTCATTTAAACAACAGCTCTACTTGCTTTGATTTTTCTTCCAAAATAAATGCTCTTGAAAGAGTGTCAAATGAAAACACACCACTGAACAATGGCCAGAACTAGCAGAGGATTTGCAGGCCAGCAGCCAGCCAGACCTAGAAAGCCACAAAACTGCTTGACATGCAATGCCTTGCAACGCCCAGATTCTCCCTGTGAACTGTGGTAAACAATTTGGTTCAATGTATTTAGCACAGTATCTCCACATTTACCTAACAGTAAGCAGTGGAAACACTTGTGACTAACATCAGCCTACTGCCATCTTCTGGTAAAAAGTTCAGGATATAAAACAATCACAAAACAACCAGTTCTTGCTTGCTGACATTATCTTGGCCTTTTCTTTCACAGTAAGGAAATGTGAAATTGCTTGTGCAATTAATATTACATTGAGAGAAACAAATAGGTTAGTGCTCTCATAGGGAGTAAGGATCCTTTTCACAAACCCCTTTCACTTGATAGCGACTGTCATAAGAAAAAGGGCACTTCAGCATTTAGTAGCTGTTATTTTACTTAGAAAAATATAACAATAAAGCAGCAATCCTAAAATATGCTTTAGAAGCCATCTATTTGAATGCATTGTAAATATGAGAAGCAAAACACACATAAAGTCAGGAAAGGCAGAATTCAATACTAAACAGGCAAACCAAGGTTGCTTTAACCAAGCCAGAACTGCAAGAGGATAAACAGACATCACTCCACTAACTTCTCCTACCAGTTAGTCTTGACTCTTGACTGTTCTTTGCACTAAACACATGCAGTTGGGAAATGCTCCTCACAGAGTGGCAAGTCCTGGGACATGAGAAACCAGCACACGGTAATTTGAAGAGGAGATACAGGATTTACATGCCCAAATCACTTATTCCCATATTCAGAATGAAGAACTGAAGATTCTTCACTGTAACATATCCAAACTCATGTCAAGGCTAAATAATACAGATGAGAAAATTATTTCAAGTACATTGTGGTATTAGTTTTGATGCTTAGAATATCTTGCAGAAAGATATCAGCAATTTGCAGTCCTTTAGCCCTTTTAATCCAACCATAACTAGCTCTTGATGAACTGAAGTTCCTTGAAACATGAAAATTACTGAGAGTCTTTGAAGTATCTCCTTTGACTACTTAATGTGAAGTACACTTTAAAAGTTTGATGTGTTCAATATGACAGAAATCTAGAAAATACTTCTAAACCTTGATTTTGATTCCTACTTACCCCCTACAATAATTTCAACATTATATAGACTGAATGTTGGAGTCAACAGCATATAGACAGTGAAGATAAATCAACTTACACCAGCACTGTAAAGACCTAATGCAACAATGCCATCTAATGACCAGATGCCACAATCTCTTCTCGCGTTTTGAAGATGTGATCAGTCTGAACGCTGCCTTTTGCAAACTGAATGTATTTTATATAACCCCCCCACACACACATTTTCTATGAATAATGCATGGAAAGAGAACAGAAAAAGAAGTGTTGCAAAATTGTCTGGAAAAAAACATAGGACCTCTGTCTTGCAGTGCTCAAAACCTGTAATGTCTATAAACAGGGGTTTAATTCTGTTGCACTTTACTCATGCGTAGTAATAAAGGATTGAACTGGTAATAGGTAGCAATGTGGGAAAGTAATATGTAGGAAATTGCCAGTTACTATTAGGAGGACTGCCAGAACAGAAATCAAAGCATTCACGGTCTCCAGCATAGTCTCTGCATTTATATATTTGCTTTTAAAATCAATTCGTTTATTCTGTAGGAATAAAGGAAATTTTCCATTAGGGTTATAAGATCTGTTTTAGTTGAACTGAATCCAACTCTGGCCTTTACTAAAGCTCTTTCAAGACATGCATTTGCTAGTTCATTAAAAACTATTTCCAATACAGCTCAAATGATGAAGCCTTAAGCATCTTTCATATCTGCTAAAAGAAATCCCACAGAGTTTTTTAGAAGTTGGTTTTAACTTAAGCCAGAATTTCATTAAAATTAATAAAAGAAACAGAACCCATGGAAAAAATTCTACTCAGTTCTTGCTCAGTTCTTCTTGAGCTTTTCAGTGTTTGGTCTGCATGAAAACTATCACTCTAGACTAGATGTCCTTGCGAAAATGGTATCATAAAGTGCTGAAAAGTGATCCCACAAGTGCTGCATAGGACTTCTCATCTCAGGAGACTTGCACAGTTTGAAATTTCCAGGTTGTTATATTTCCACTATTCTAACAAAGTTGCTGAAGTTTCAGTGCTTTCCAAAGGGATGCACTCCTTTCACAGAAGCCGTGTTTTGAAGATAGATCCATTCTGACAGACCTTTTCCAAGCTCATAAACCAGTTCTGAAGCAAAAGTATCTTATTAACTCCCACCAGAACTAGTTGTAGGTGCAGCCACTCAGCACCAAGTGTTTGTACTGGTTTTGGCTGGGATAGAGTTAATTTTCTTCTTAGTAGCTGGTAGGGACTACGTTTTGGATTTGTGCTGCAAACAATGTTGATAACATAGGGATGTTTTAGTTATTCCTGAGGCCTTTTCTGCTCCTTACATCAACCAACCAGAGAGGAGGCTGAAGGTGCAGGAAGAGTTGGACAGCTGACCCTAACTGACCAAAGGGATATCCCACACCATATTGCATCGTGCTCAGCAATAAAAGTAGGGAGAAGGTTGATCAGAGGACCGCTGCTTGGGGACTAGCTGGGCATTGGTCAGCTGATGGTGAGCAATTGTCTGCATCTGCATCACCTGTCTTTCCTGGGTTTTATTTCTGTTATTTTCCTTTTCAGTTAAAAAAAATGTATACTATTTTATTTCAGTTATTAAACTGCACTTATCTCAATGTGCAAGTTTTCTCACTTTTACCTTTTCAGTTCTCTTCCCATGTCATGGTTTCAGCTTGCATACAGTTAATTTTCTTCCTAGTAGCTGGTGCAGTGCTGTGTTTTGGTTTTAGTCTGAGAACACATAGAGGTTTTAGTTGTCACTCAGTAGCATTTAAAAGTCCTGATGAAAGACTTTTCAGTCCTTCATGCTCTGCCAGTGAGGAGAGGCACAAGAAGCCGGAAGGAAACAGAGACAGGACATTTGGTGAGCAATTGTATTGTACGTCACTTACCTTCCTTGGGTTTATTCCTTACTCTCTTTTCCTGTCATTATTATCACTATATTTTACTTTATTTCAATCTTTAAACTGTCATTTTCTCAACCCACAGATTCTATCTTTTTCCAGTTCTTCTCCCTGTGCAGGAAGGGGGGTAAAGGATGCATAAGCAGCTGTATGGATCTTCGTTGCCAGCTGGGGTTAAAACATGACAGCGGTTTACTACATTTTACCCCTGAGAAATCCTCACAACATGAAATACAACAAAACAATAGGAAAAACCTTTTCCAAACATCTTTACAAAGGGACTTCAAGATATCAAGATGGAGATGAGCAGCACAAGCCACAATGTAAACAGGCCCACTTTATTGAAAAAATATAATTAAATAAAAAGGGAAAGTTACACTCCAGTGGCCAACTCTCTTTCTAAACAGAAACTGACAAGAAAGGAATGTAAAGATCCCCTTGCTCTGGGAGATGACATCATTCAGCAACATGACATCATCTCCATCAGTGAAAAGATGCACCCAAGTTTCCAAGACTGGTATTCCTGTGCAAGCTACTAAAATGCATGCAGCTTGAAGTGATAGTCAGACTGCTGGAAAAGTATATAAATGAATGGCTATGGATTAGATCCACCTCTTGGATGACTCCACCTACCAGAAACTGCTGTCAGTCAGTGCCACACAGAAACACCATCAGATGTGATGTATGAGGGGACTTGCTATTCATTACGTCTTGTAATTGAGATCATTTCTCCCATTACTTGCAGAAATCCACTGACAACTGTATTTGCAGTTTTCAATGCTTAATGAACTAGTAACTGCCAATTACATGGATTTTTTTTTTTTTGCTTTACTTTTCAATAAAAATAGAATCATAGGACCATAGAGTGATTAGGGTTGGAAAGGACCATAAGATCATCTAGCTCCAATCCCCACCCCCCGCCTCACACTGGCCCATGTCGCCCAAGGCTCTGTCCAACCTGGCCTTCAACACTGCCAGAACAATACAAGACAGACTGCAAATAGTTCTGTGTTATCATTCAAAAGTTACAGTAATCTCTGTTTTGTTACAGCTACACATTATTTGACATGCTACTACCAAACATTTTACTATTTGATATTACACTTGGGGAAAGGCATTACAAACCCTTCATCATACCTTTGTAAGCAATGCACATATGCATTGCTGAAAAGAGAGCATTAGTATGATCTGAAAAAAACAAAACAAAACCAAATCAAGACAAACAAAAAATAAAATAAGTTAAAAAAGAAAAAAAAAAAAGGTTTGTAAATGTGGTTTAGCCTTGCTCACCCTTACCAGCTGAGTTTCAAAAGTACATAAAATCTGACTTCTCTGTATGCTGCACTAAATTATGACATATTCTCCGCTGGAGGTAAAAGTGAGGTATTTGCGCTGTGTACTTCAACTAATGATAACCCAGCACACCTAACTTCAGAAGCCCAAAAATTCACTATACTTAGGAAGCTGAAGAATCTCCTAATTAGGAAGTTAATGAGAAAATCAATTTCCCAAGCTTAATGGTCAAGTGCTTCTGAATGGTATTTCAGGATACATATCTTAAGTCTGTACAGTATGAATACTATATTCCTTGCAGCAAATGCCTAGTTTTAAAGAAGTCACAGGTGTATCATTTCTGTTTTTACATATATCACTTAGAATTTGAGGCCAGGTCTTCAAAGGAAACTCAAAATTCTTAGGTGTCACTTCTTAATCCAGAACTCTCCATGCAGTAGCAACCCAAGAACCACTTAGCTGGACAGACAGAATTGGGGAAAAAATACTTTTTGTTTTAAAGCTTTAAAAATGCTCAAAGATACATTTATAATTTTTCATATGCAACATACAGCAGTAAATAGCAGTGCAGTCCCCAAAAGCAGTACAGCATGCTAGCCAAGTAACCACTCCCCAGGTTCCTTCACCCCCAGCCTCTACTAAATACCCACAGGAGCACAGCTGACAGACGCACTTCTTCAAGGGTGGAACTACATGTAAAGGCTCATCTGATTCAGGAGACATGGTCTATAGCAGAAAAAAAAAAAACACAGTAAGGGAAGAAAAACCCCGCCACTACTCAGCAGCAGCTCCTGAAAACAACTATGTCATTAAGATGAACTAGGAACCTCCATAAGCAGGGACACAGCACAAGACACTGGTACAGTGTGCACTACATGTCACAGCTGACTAGCTGCTTCCCTTGGGCAGGATGCCGATGTGCCTTTGGTGGCACTGCAACCAGAATTCTGAAGCTCTGCTTTCAAACCTCTTCTGACCGGGGAATGGAAGCCTTGTCTGCTGCCACTTGGATAGACTTTTGTGAAGTCACCAGCACCAGGTCTGCAAGGAACACAGCTGGGCCTGTTCCAGACAGCTGATATAGCTAAGGTCAGATTTTCCAGTTCCCTAGGTGTTTGATCATAAGATCAACCTGTAAACAGGATGTTATGAAGCACTTCTCTCTTAGCTGTTAACGTGTTAGCAGCCACATTATAACTTCAGTGACCAGCCACATGAATATCTTTTCATAAAGCTTGTCAAATTCTGCTTTATAAAGGTGTCAAATACAGGTGGAGATTCTTCCTAAAACCTATTTACAACTGTTTTGGAAGAAAGGAAGAGAAAGATAAACAAGAACAGAAAACCAATTTTAGTTAGCAATGTCTCCAAACTGTGTAAAACAAACATCATGTTAGACGTCAGTGCTACCTAACCAATAAATGGAGGCTACATGAAATCTATTGTTGAAACTCAAAACTCCACCTGCATCAGCTACAGATCTGGGATGTCACATGGATTCGTCACCACGCTGCTGATTCTCAAACGTTATGGCCACTGGTCCAAAACACACAATTACTGAATGAAGGGAGGGATCTCAACCTTGAGGAGTTACGTTGGATGGCATCCCACCCCAAGGGGAGAGTCCCTGACTGCTGCTCTGAAGAGGACTAACTCCAAATGGCTCTCTGGAAGGACTCCATTTATACCCTAGTCAAGTCTCATCTGTGGTCAGATACAGTCATGTAGTGACCACTGGCTCAGGACCCCAACCTCCTTGTCCCTGTCCCTGCTGACCACCACCACGAGTGGGACAAGAGCTGCGTGTGCAAGGAGTTTTCCCAGGCTTTTGCAAGTGGAGCAAAGCTTTCACAGTGAAGCTTTTGTTAGGGCATTGTCAGTGTGGGTGTAGCTGCCACACAATCCAGCCCACAACCACAGTCATAATTCAACTGTTTGGTTTCCTTGGAGTGGGGGTACAGTCACCTCTTGCATCCAAACTTAAAAGGAAGCACAGTCTTGGTGAGTCTTAATGTTTACTATGGATCATAATTTCTCAATTATTTAGCTGCTATCATAACCAACACAGACCTCATCGTGTGCATAATAAGATTCATCATAATACAGACTTTGGAATAGGAACACAATAGCCTTCTACCAACAGATTCAAAACTCGACACACATGCATTTGCTTAGTGCTGAGGCTTCCTGCCACACTTCCCACTGGCTTCTTGGGGTGCAGTCCCACCACTCGTGGGGCATTGACCCTCCCTGAAAATGTCAAAACTCCTCTCCATGTCTCCACTGGGGACATGTAGAGAGGTAAAATTACATCTTGCATCCCTCACTGACCTGGCATTTGATATGTCTGGTGACGAGGTCCTGGCAGTTCATGCAGGCCACTACTCCTGTCACCAGCAGAAGCACGGGGGTGACCCACACCTCCATGTGCTGTTCTATAAAGAAACAAAACTAAGCTTCTAATCTTTAGGGTTAGAAGTCAGGGATTACGTTTCAGGCACTAATATTGTAAGTCTCCTTGCTCCTGTCTAGGGCTTCCCAGGCATACAGGCCTGGGTCAATACTGCATTGGATTTTGCCAGGGTCATGGGCACAATGCCAGCAGAGGGTAGTTTCACCATCTAGATATGCCGTATGGGATCTCAATCGGAACTGACCTCTTTGATCACCAGGTATGGAGGTGTTGCCTGTCAATGGCCCAGTAGGATGAAACACTTGAATCTTCTGTTTCCCATAATTTCCCCAGTGGTTACTAGCAATAAGGACTGCTTGTGACAGTCATGCATCCCGTTTGGGGTGTAATTAAACACATCAGCATGTGTTTTAATTAGGCCATTAGAACACTCAACTATACCATTGGCTTGAGGACAATATGATGTATGTAACATCTATTTTACACCCTCTCCTTGTGCCCAATCTTGCACTACCATGGCTGTAAAATTTCAACCATTATCACTTTGGATACAGTGAGGCATGGGCAAAACACTGAACCATTCCCAGAAAGACCTGGACCATATGATCTCCAGTAGTAGCACTAACAGATGTAGACATAGACCATCCTAATACTACTTTAGAAATTAATACTTTTTTGCATTGGACAGGTTCAAGGGCCTGATGTAATTGGTCTGTCAGGTGTTCCAGAGAGTTCTGTCTTGTATAACTGTACTGGGTTTAGCAGTAGCAGTCATTTTTTTCTCCCTCTTGGTAGCTGGTACAGTGCTGTGTTTTGACTTTCGGGCAGGGAACAAAGTGATAAAAATGATGGTTTGGTTTGGCCAAGGACTTTGTGAGTCTCATGCTCTGCCAGGGAGGAGGGGAAGCCGGGAGGAAGCAGAGACAGGACACCTGACCCAAACTGACCAAAGAGGTATTCCATACCACAGCACGTCATGCCAGGGGGGAACTGGGAGGTACCTGGAAGGACACGGGGTCGGGCGGGTCGAACTGGTGGTTCAGCGCGTGGTATTGTACTCCTTTCCTTTGCTATTTTCTCTTATCATTGTTGTCGTTGGTGGTAGCGGTGGTGATTCGTATTGTACATTAGTTGCTAGACTGTTCTTATCTCAGCCCGTGGGAGTTGCATTCCTTCGATTCTCCTCCCCATCCCTCTGGGGAAGGGGGGCGGGGGGACGGACTAACATGGGCCTCGATTGCTTCCAGCCTGGCACCACTCACTGGGAGTAAGTGCACAAGCTGTCTTGGTTGGGGTTAAACCATGACAGTTCTTTTTGGTGCCCAACGTGGGGCACGAAGGGGTTGAGATAACAACAGATCTGACCGGATTAATAGTCACTCGTCACAATGCTGATTTATTGGCTCTCAAAGTTGTTCCTCTTGATCTCACAGTCTCAGGATATCGTACCTTACTTCCATCTGGTATTTGCTGTATTAGTGTTTTTCAAGTGTGGCCCTTGGGCTAAAGTTCTTGTCTCAGTGTACTTTATGATAATGACTTGTAATACAATAGAATCATTGATCATGAAACTTATCTGGCTTATGTTCCCAGTATGGTCACCACCTTTATACTTTGGGAGGTATATAATAGAAGTGCTTAGGAATTACACATATTCTTTCTCCTTCTCGGGTGGTCAACCTGTGAAGGAGGCATTCTTTTACCCTCTCAGTCCTCCCCCCAGAGCATTTACAGCATCATTTGAGAGTTTTGAATGGCCTCTTAATGCTGTTGAGACTTGTTTGCTGATTGTGATGGGGATCACCATGTTGGCACGTATACAGAGTGTATTTTGCCCACAACTATTTCATCTGTTTTCAAAAGTTAAGCAGAGTCAGGTTTGGGTCTTGTCTGGGGTTAAACGACGAAGTAGGAGGACCAAGAGATTTTCTCTGAGGCTGGACAGTCATGAGTGGCAGGGTGTGTGGGACAGTATGAGCAAGTATCTAGGTCAGTGGGCCCCTCCAGTACTTTGGAATTTCACCACTGAACAACTGCAAAATCCAGAAGAATTAGCAAAACACTTAAATGAGGTGTGTGGTCATTCTGGCCATACCAGAGACGGACAAATCATGGCAACGTGCTGGGGCTTGGCCTATGCTTACAGGGCCATGTTCAATGCTTTCCAGCACCTTCACAAGGAAAAAAATGTCGCTGGATCTGAGGGCAAAGCAACAGCCAGTACAGTTACTCCAGCTCCAAGTACAGCAGCTACACCACCTCCAGCAACAAGTACAGCAGCTACTCAAACTTTGACTGCAACAGACAGTGCAGCTATCCCAGCTCCAAGTACAGCAGCCACATCACCCCCAGCAACAAGTACAATCTCTACTCAAACCACAGTGATAACCACTGCAACTAAACCAGAGGACCAATTCGTACCAATATCGGTTGCCCCTGTACGCAAGAGAAAAAGCAAAAAGGAGGCAGGAAGGTTAAAGCAAGATGAAGAAACAATGTGTTCACTACTCGATCCAGAACCTGATCAGGAGTCATCATCACATGATGAAGAAGAAGAAGGAGAGGTGACTTCTCGACTTCGGACCTCAACCGAGCTACGGAATATGCGAAAAGATTTTACCCGTCAACCAGGGGAGCACATCATCACCTGGTTGCTCCAATGCTGGGACAATGGGGCCGATGGTCACGAATTAGAAGGTACAGAAGCCAAGCAGTTGGGATCACTTGCTAGAGAAGGGGGAATTGACAAAGCAATTGCAAGACAGAAAAAGTCCCTCAGTCTTTGGAGGCGGCTCTTGGCAGCTGTCAAAGAAAGGTTTCCATACAAGGACGATGTTATGAGTCGTTCGGCCAAGTGGACTACTATAGACAAAGGTATCCAGTCTCTGAGAGAATCAGCCATCGTAGAGATGATCTATCACATCAAGCCGAATAACAGGAATATACCCATAGATCCAGATGAAGCCGAATGTACACGACCCATGTGGCGAAAACTTACATGGAATGCACCATCATCATATGCCCATTCATTGGCAACAGTAACCTGGAATGACGTAGTACCACTAACAGTGGATGAAATGGTTCATAAACTCTGCGAGTTTGAAGACAATCTCACCCCTTCCATCATCTCAGCTGTGGAAAAACGGTCCCAGGATCTCAAACAATTGAAGGACGATATATCTGACTTATCCAGCTCCAAAGAAAGGTGTCCATACAAGGACGATGTTATGAGTCGTTCGGCCAAGTGGACTACTATAGACAAAGGTATCCAGTCTCTGAGAGAATCAGCCATCGTAGAGATGATCTATCACATCAAGCCGAATAACGGGAATATACCCATAGATCCAGATGAAGTCGAATGTACACAACCCATGTGGCAAAAACTTACACGGAATGCACCATCATCATATGACCATTCATTGGCAACAGTAACCTGGAATGACATAGTACCACTAACAGTGGATGAAATGGTTCATAAACTCCATGAGTTCGAAGACAATCTCACCCCTTCCACCATCTCAGCTGTGGAAAAACTGTCCCAGGATCTCAAACAATTGAGGGACGATATATCTGACTTATTCAACTCCTCGCGTGTACC